GAAGCTTTCTTGGGATTCAGTGAAGCTTGGGGGGATCTCAGGCAAAACTGAACTTGTGGGCTGCAGTGGTTTAACCGAGTGGTTCCACCCTATGAGCTACGTGAGCAAAAGGAAAATCTGACAGGAGGTGAGATTTTTTAATTATAAATAACTCAGTGAAACTCCAAGACTGTAAATGCTAGCAGGAGAGCTTTTTGACACTCCATGTGCGTGCCGACTAGGGATGTGGGGAGGTTCTGGTTCCAGGGCAAACATGAGCTGAACTGCAGCACTTTGCACGTTCCTGTCCTAGTTCCAAGCCAACCGGTGCCGTCAAAGGTCTGTGCCCCACTGTTGTGTTCAGTGTTGCATCCTTGGGGCTTCTGTCTCCTTTGAGTTTTGAATCATAGAAGCTGGCTCTGTGCCTGTCCAGGAACACCTAGATCCGCTTGCTCTGGGTTCCAGGTCCCTCTGAGCTCTTAGGTGACGCCTGTTTATCTGGTGTCTGAGTACTCAGTCTTTTACGCTTATCAGGACTGACCCCAATGGGACCAGGTCAGTCCTCATTTTACAGAGAGGGGCCCTCTGTCTCCCAGATTCCTCCCCTGGATTCTTTAAGGTGTTCTTTCGAAAGGTGGGGTTCTGGATTCCGATGTTCAGCAGCGCTTCCTGTCGCCTGGTCCATCGTGTACCCAGACACCAACAATTAACGTGCTCCATCCTCTCCATAGATTTCCGTTTCCTCAATTCCAGTTTCCACCCCGTTGAGTAAGAGCCGTGTGGCTTTCTGAAGAGAAGTTAGGCAGGCCACAGAAGGCAGCGCGCTCATTCAGACCAACCAGTCGCTCACTCCGAAAGCCGTTACGAAGCAGTTTGGAGTTTAGGGTAGGTTTATTGTCAGTACACACAGTAGTAATTAACCATGTCTCTGGCTGTTTGTTCTGTTTCAGAGAATGGGAAATTGGCCATGGAGTACAATTCCTCCCAAGAGGAGCCCGCAGACTCCCTAACAGAAGAGGAACTGAAGGGACTTGTTCAGGTAAAACCAGTGGGTCTTTAGCTTTTGTGCAGGGCCTGTGTGTTCCATCTAGGGACTGGAGATACAGCTGTTAACCATTACAGCCCCTGACACCCTCCTTAAACCCCGGGAAGTAATCACATCTGGGAATTGTACAGCACGCCAGGGTTTTAAAACTCCTACTTTTGGGGGTATCTTTGTGCAGAAATGCATGTATATTTTAGACGGCGCAGGAAAGTGAGCAGTTAGGGTGCGGCACTGTTACAGTGCAGGTTGACAAGTCTGATGCACGACAGTGTCCAGGACTGCTTCTCATAGCATCTGGGAGAGTGAAAACCCTGGTAAAGCCACAGGAGCTTCAATCAAATTATTTTAAAAAGTTCTTCAATAAATCAAACTCCCCATCTAGAAATGCACTTCATAAACATATCCTTACCCCAGAGGGAAGGACTGTTAAAAGCTTTGGTGAAATAAAAGCTTTGGTGCAATCCCTGCAGATGATTGTGGGGTCTGTCAGCGTGCACCAAACAAAAATGCCCAGGTACAGCAGTAAAACTTTAATCACTGTGCTCAGCGAGAGGAGTTCTGTGTGCCAGCTTTTGCACGCAGCCAGTCCCGAGCAGAGGCTTTCCGCCTCGCTTAGGTTGAAAACATTGCTGCTGACAAGGGGAGATGACCGACACGGCAGTCGGTGGAAAGCGAGCGTCCCTCTCGCGTGACGCATCGGCACCGCGCAGCATCCAGCTCCTGCGGTTTGCGTGGGGGAGGTGTCTAATGAACCTTGTGGCATGTTACTCCGCCTGGTGACACTGAGTCACTAGTGTCCACGGGCACAGCTGTCTTCCTTTCTTCCTGAAGAGCTGCAGTAAAACAGGAGGTGTTTTACTGTGTGGAGTAACTAACTTCCACCAGATTATTTTTTTTAATCAGTTGAGAAGATGAAATTCC